AATGAAAGTTGTAGTACTCGTCGATAGCTACGTGTGGATATAAATTAAGAACTTACAAAACGGGGCTCATATGAGAAAGATATGATTTTTTGAGGTTTTTCGAAAAATGTATCGCGTAGAGCGCGGTGCACGCATCTAGAAGGTGGGACGTGAACCACCCATAATCTGACACGTGGTAGCCTTCAAATGGAACCAACACAACAGCCCCAACAAGAGGCATGACACACCTCAGATAATGCGCGCGATACGCCCCTCTTTTTAGGCTACATATAAATTGCCGAATTTCACTTCATTTGAGACACTTTTCATTTAAATCACTTCTGAGCACCCCCAAAACTCTCAAGACCAATTTTAGTAAGTTTGAAGTGATAGTAGCAATGCCCTAGAGCGTCTGAGCACCCGAAGAAATAGAGATTTTGAGATTTGCTCACGAACTTTCTGGACTTTTTGTCAGGAAACTCTATTGGTTTAGTTATACTTATTTTGCGTTAAGTGTAACTTATATTTATGTTTATAATGGTTATTATGAACCTATAAATAAGATTTATCAATGATTTAAAGTTATAATACCGATTAATCTACTTACGGGAGTGATGTTGTAACACCAGTGTTCGAAGTAATTTCAGTTATGGCCTGATTTCCTTAAAAAGTTGCAAAATTGGTACCTACGGTGGGCGTACAGGTTGGGTGCGCCGGGCATAGGATCTTAAGTGATTATCACATACCCCCCCCCCCCCCAACATACGTTGGGCGTACGTGTGTGTACGTTGGTTGTACGCATGTAGAGGGCAAACCCTAATTTCTAGGGTCTAGATCCTATTTAAAGGACATTATGGACTCTAACCCTTTCCTACCTCCAGTTTCCATCTCTCTTAGCCTCCATTTTGAAAACCTAGTTGAGTGTGTATGTTTTGAAGCCTTAAAAGGTCATTTTGGATGTTCTTAGTGGTGAAGGAAGACTCTTGAAGTGGTGGTGTTTTACTCAAGCCTTTGGATCCAACAATCATTCTCTCGTATGCACCTTCTGGAGGTATAAAGCTCCAACCTTGATGCATATTCCTTTAGATCTTGTTCAAGCTTAGATTTATACCCTTTTCCCAAAATCTTAATCCTTGTGAGTATGGAATAATCCAGGGCCTTTAAGTTGTCCTTTTAGTTGTTTTAGGGTATTTAGTGTCATAAAAGTGCAAGCTTGGACCTTGGTTTTCATCCATGAAAATGCTAGGGAAGTTTAATTGATAATTTAAGTTAAGGTTGTGTTTTTAGCTTCCTTATGTCATGCAAAGGCATAAAGGTTAAAACTTTATGAATTCAGACGTTTATTGGATGTTAGATCTGAAGTTTGGATGTAAGGTCTTAAGGCATTAAGACCTTAATAGAGTTCTTGGGATATGTCTAGTACGTTGGGTGTAATCTAGGGTACGTTAGGCGTATTTGATTGCGACCCTGTAAACCTTATGAGGATGAGTTGTATGATGGGCATAGCTCGGTGTATGTCAGGTATACGCTCAGGAAATGTTTTGGTCCGTTTTGAGACTTTGGGCCACTAAGGAGTTTTGGGCTTGGTTGGTTGGGCCATGTGTAGAGGGGCAAAATGGTCTTTTTCCATTTGTAGGATAAATTATGTTTTGGACCATTCTTATGGGTTAAAACCCATTTATTAACTAGGGTTATTATCGGGTTATGATTAGTGTGAGGAGATGTGTTAGCAACAATAGTGAATCTTCCCACTGCACCTGTGGGTCAAAGGCACCAATGTCAGCCCATTATTTTGTTATATAGAATGCTAGTCGTTATGTGACTTATACATGTTTTCATGTTTGGGTTGAAATAAACTCTACGTTTGGGCGCATATTTGTTGATCAGGTTGAAATAAACCCCAGGGATGGTCCCATTATTGTATGATTGGGTTGAAATAAACCTTATGGCTCGGCCCTAGGGTTGGGCCTATATATGCTTAATCGAGTTGAAATAAACCCAGGGATTGACCCCAGAGTAGTATATTGGGTTGGAATACACCCTATGGCTAGGCCCAGTTGTATGTTTGGTATGTGGTACTTTAGGGAAATCACTAAGCCCTGTGTTTACAATTTATGCTTATGGTTTTAGGTACTTCCGGTACGAAAAGGAATGACTCGACGTGATGGAAAAACATCCTCGCCTCATGATTTCTGCACTTTTTGGATATTTTTACTCTGATGTTTTGGATATTGTACATTGTGATTAAATTTGAACTATTTGATGATTGAAACTATCGATTTTAAAATGAAAAACTTTATCATAGTTTTTTTGGGGGTGTTATAGATGTCTAGGCTAGATTTAGTGAGGTATCTAAAGTGGGATTTCCAAATAACATACTATGTATACCAAATGGAACCTACCTCCAATATGATCTTACCTGGTTATTTCTTATTTGATAGATCTTGATGTAGACATTAAGATTATTGAGGAATCTAGACTATTGTTATTATAGTCATGAGGAATATGAAACTAAACTATGAATTAGTGTTATTTACATCTAGGTCTTTTGAAAATAAAGGATAAGGTGTTATATGAAGCACTGCTCTAACCTTAAACCACCCACTCTTGTCAGGTGAGTGCCTGGTTACTATCAAGAACATAACTTAATAAACATATTTATTATTTAGGAGAGTTATTAAATGTCAATTGCATTATTTGTACTATGTGCTATTTGTATAACTATAATAATACTACTTGATTAGGAATTATATTGGAAGTAGATTGCCTTTAACTATAATCTTATTTATAGTAATCCTCCTCTTTTTTGGATGACCAAAATTGGTGGGTTCAGATCAGACAACTGGCAGGTATGTATGAATCATCGACCAGAGTAGATGACAACACTTGACTATTCTAGACAATCTAGTGAATTACGTTGCTAGTGTGGACTTATAACCCACAACCATATATAGAATGGGATACCATATTTATTAAGTACTCTGAACATTGGTTGTCTTTAATATGACTTATAGTGGCCAAAGACTCCCCTAACTATGTAGTCAAACAGTTTTCTCATACGATTCATCAGGTAAGGTGATTCTTCCATATGATCGTTGATTTAGGATTCGTGAGAATCGATTGGGCTGGGTAAAGTGTCTTATGGATATTTACATCAGATTATATCTACTATAATGAATGAAGACAATGTTGCCACATGTCAATCTCTAATGAATTTTAACACTTGTCATTTTGTGATATTTTTTAAATAAATAATATCCATATGTCAATTTATGTTTTTTTTCAACTTTTAAAATTAAAAAGCCAAATAATACTTATACTTATATATGTAAACTATCAAATGTAATAAATATTATACTAAATTGCAATTAATATGTTTCTTATTTCAAAATTTTCATTCCTTATTTAAAAAATTTATTTTAAAAAATACTTATTATTTACATTTTAATGTTTTATTTTTTTATAAACCTATGTAATACACAAGTTTTACATCTAGTGTGTGTGTCTATATATATATATATATATATATATATATATATATATATATATATAATTTGGTAATGGTTGTTATGTTATTATGATTTATTATAATTAAAATAATGTGGGCTTGAAAACCTTATGCATCTCACCAGGTTTCCCCAAACCTAATCCACTCAATTTATATGCATCACAGGTAGCGGAACTAAGGCCGGTGGAAACTAATTAGGATATTGAATGAAATAAGAGATGAGTCAGTAAGAGTATTTCAGTACATTTTAATATTTACGCTAACCTATGTTGAATATGAATCATGACATCCTTGGTATCTTAATGTTATGAAATAATATTTCGTTATCACAAAATGTTTCAATAAACTGGGATTTTCGTAGCAAAGACAAATCATTTTTAATGCGTAAAGAAAAAGTTTTAATTGGTTCTGAAAATTTGGGAATGTCACAACGATAGTAATGGTGGCGTTCATGAGGTTCATGGTGCCATCAGTGGTGGAAATGGTGATCAAGATTGGGTTGACAGTGGTGGTGGTAATTGCTTGGATAATGGAGGTGTTAATAGGTGAACCGGTAAAGATGGCGGAAGTGGCGGTGGGGGTTTCCATGATGTTATTTGCAAGGACGGTAACAGTGTTGATGGTTGTGGTAAGATATGTTGGAGGTTCTGGTTGTTATCTCGCAATGGCGGTAGTTGGTTGACGTGTTGGTGAGGAGATTAGCCATGTCTGTGGTGAGCTTGTGGAGTCATGTGTTGGTAGCGGTGGTATGGTGGATGAGAGCTTGAAGTTGGTCTTGCATGGAGTGGGGTTCATCGGTTTTGTTTTCTTGTTTGGGAGGCCTGATAAGGGAGATGAAAACATCAAATGATAAAGCCAAATTCAAGATTGGCGATCTCCTAAGAAAATAGATAAAGAGTTGGAACAATTTTCTTTTCAAGTCATTTCTAATCTTGAAGGATGCATTCCAGTCAAATAAATATGCATGCAGAACTAGAACTAATATGGGCATGGACCTTGTGGAGTAGGAACCTGCAAGTGACTATGCAAGTAATCTTAAAAACAAAGAAATACTACTTCAACTCAATGGCTTATTCTTCCTAGACTTCGAGTCCAATAGCCTTGCAGGCTTGTGTTTGTCTCTTGGGCCTTCCTTCTTCTTGGTTCCATTTTGATTATTGTATCACAGTAGCATAACAAATACATAAATCTAAAGGTGATCATTTTATCCCAGACAACACAAGGGTAGATCTGTTTGTTGTAGCATGCTTAGTGGTGTCGCTTCTTTGTAGAGTTTGAAAATCTAATGTAATATTCCTTATTTTGCTTTGGTAGTTTTTTTTCTAGTTTTCAGCCTTAAAAGTTAGAAATTGGCCTTTACTTAATTATTAAACAGTAAAAATGTACCACTTAGTCACTTTGTTGTTATTAGAGTGTATCTATCAAGTGTTATAGCTATGTTGTCACGTCTCCTCTTGATCGCATACTTTCTGTTGGATTCGTTTTGGATTCTTATGATATGATAGAAACATAATATATGCTTAACAACTTTTATTAATCGAGTCATAAGGTAACAATTTCAAGTGTTTCGAGTTCATAACGACACATGTTTACATCTTACATCTTACACAAGACATACAATTTGGATACCTATAAATAATGCATCACCACCCTCTTCCCAAATTACATCTTACATCTTACAAATTACATTACACCATCAAAAAAAATGAGTAGGCAGAAAGAACTAGATAAAAAGAAAAAATAAAATAAAAATTATAAATTATTTGCACCCTTTTTCCTCATTACCAAACATCACGAAGATATCTTCCTGATGTTTGTAGATTCTTCACATACAATTCTGCCTTAGAAGAGTCTAGAGATCCCTGAAATTATTAAAATTATGACGCTTTCATTAGTTAATCCTTAAATTAAATAGCTGATTTTCCCATAATTGGTCAAGAAAGTGACACGCAATCATCTCTCTCACCCCAAAATAATAATAATAATAAAATGATAGAATACGACATCCAAAAGTCAAATAAGGGGTGTAGCATTTTTTTCAATTTTGAGCCACATAAATATACATGGACCCAAAAAGCATTAAATACATTAAAAAAATGTCCACCAATTATCAAATGAAGTCAATTTTTCATATATAATAAATAATTAGCTTTATTTTCAAAAGTTAACGCACCTGTTCTTGAACAATTGTGTGAAGGGTTCTGTGTACATCTCTAGCCATGCCTTTAGCATCACCACATACGTATAAATACGCTCCTTCACAAAGCAAGTTCCAGATATCCGACGCCTGTTGAAACAAAAATCTTATATTAACAAAACAAAAAAAAAAAAAACAAAAAAAGTAACAACTTTTAAATATATTTAGTGGGTCCTACACCTACCTTTTGGCTCATTTTGTGTTGCACGTATTCCTTAATGGGGCCCTCACGCGAGAAAGCAACAATAAGCTCGGAAAGCGCACCAGTGTCCACAAAATTGTTCAATTCATCCTCGTATATAAAATCCTAAAGAAAAAGAAAAATCAATTTCAAATTACTAAAACATATTAAATATAAATTTTTCCTTTTTTTAAAAAACATACCACTTTGCGATTTCTGCATCCGAAGAATAAAAGAGAGGATCCGAGGTCTACACCGGATTCCTTTAAAGATGATCTTTCTTGAAGGAAGCCTCTGAAAGGAGCAAGTCCAGTTCCTGGGCCAATCATGATAATCGGAACTTTCGGATCCGAAGGAAGTCTGAAATTTGATGTTCTAACAAATATAGGCGCCCAGCTACAATTTTGACTTTCGGTCAAAGGCACAGCGTTCTGAAAAATAAAACCAAAAAATTAATTAAAAAACCTGCTATGTATTTCGATGGCATTGATGTAATTATTAATCAATATTAATAATTACCTTCATCCACGTGGAACAGACGCCTTTGTGGATTCTGCCTGCTGGTGTTTTCTCGTGAACTAATGCACAAGTAACGTGAATTCTGTTTTGTGCAATTCTGAAGAAATAACAAATTTGGATATAAATTATTAACTTAAAATAAATAAATAAATAAAAGAAAAGTAGAAAAGTAATTTTTTTTTTTTTTTATTTACTTACTTCGGAGAAGAAGAAATGGAGTAGTAACGAGGCTGTAAGCGAGGGGCAACAGCAGCAAAGAAGACACCGAGTGAAGGTTTAGCAGACGGGAATGCTTCCATCACTTCAAGAAGACTTCTTTGGCTTGAAACTATCCACTGAGCATATTCATCCTGAAAGCAACATTAAATTAAATCAATTTTTAATTTAAAAAAAAAAAATAACTGTTTATTTTAATAAGAGTAAATTACACGAATGGTCCCTATGATTTGGGGTAATTTGCACGTTTGGTCCTTAACTTATTCTTTTAACTCGGAAGGTCCCTACTGATTGTTTTTATTACGTGTTTGATCCCTATTTTTTGTTTTTGTTACAAGCTTGGTCTCTGTCATACCTAAAAAGACTATTATTTAAATATGAAAAAATGATAGGGTACGTAAGGTAAGGTGAGAAAGGTGAGATTAGGTGTGTTTTTATTTAAATAAATTAAAAAATAAAGGAAAAAATAGACTTTTTATGTAAGACAGGGACCAAGCGCGTAACAAAAACAAACAGTAAGGACCTTCCGAGTTAAAAAAATAAGTTAGGGACCAAACGCGCAATTTACCCTAAACCATAGGGACCATTTGTGTAATTTACTCTAAGAAATATAAGAAAAAATCGTTACCTTGCCAGCTGGCGATGCGAGAAATTTTAATCGTTCCGCTTCATTAGGATCAGAAGCATGAGCAGCCAAAGCAATCAAAGCAGACTGAAATAAATAAATAAATAAATAATTAAATTTTTTTTAAAGGTTTTTCAGATTCGGATTCGAAAATGTTAACTACCTTTTTGGGGGAACTTAAAACATCTGCATAACGAGCCAACGCGTTTCTCAAAGTGCATGGAGGAAAAGGAGGAGGCAAGGAGGCCCCACCAATTGGAGTTCCATCTTCTTTATCGGTGTGGATTGAGAAATAAGTGTCTTGTCGTAACCCTAATAATTTAATGGCTTCCTCCACCACTTCATTTAAATTCTCACAATACACACCAACATGATCCCCTGTCTCATATCTAAAACAAAAAAAACAAAATAAATCACTTTCATCACCTATAAGAAATCCATTAAATTGCTATCAATCGCGTAAGTAAGTAACTTACGATAATCCAGTGTCGGATATGTCAAATTCCAAATGAGTGCAAGATCGATCGGATTCAGGGGTGTGTAACTCCTTTTTGAATGCCACATTCGATCTTTAAAAAAAAAAAAAAAAAAAAATTCACGTCAGTTTGTTAAAGAATGTCGTAAAGATGGAATATAAATTCTAGCCAATGAATATATATATATATATATATATATATATATATATATATATATATATATATATATATATATATATATATATATATATATATATATATATATATATATACCTGCATGGATGTTGAGCATCATGAATTGAATGACCATTTGTATGAGTTAGATCTTCTGAATATGAGTTGATTTTTTCATGAATTATAACGCGATATTCCAAAACAGCAGCAGTGTAAGGAGTTGCAACAGTTGAATCATCTTCATCGCGTAATAATTGATCCAATTCAGGCCAAACTAATTCTTTCCTGTAAATTTTTGAAAAAAGTTATTTGTGAATTCGTCCGATGATTTGATTAGTAAGTTGGAATTAGATTAGAGAAAAGTTAATACCATGCAGTGAAATCATCTTCAATACATTGATCATCATCTCCTAAGCCAACAGGAACAAGGCGTTTTGCACCTGAAAAAAGTAATGGAAATATGTTTAGATTGAAGAGAAATTTCACAAATTGTGGAATAAATTTAGGGAATTGAACTCAACATACCTTGTTCTACAAGAGTGTCATCAACCACTTTTGCAATCTATATGACATTAAGAAGAAATGTGTATTTGATTTAGTGTAAGTATAATGGATTACATATTACATAACAAGGAGAAATGATATGATTATATGATTTGTTACCTTGTTGAAATGCTCATATTGCCTGTTTCCAAGGCCAAACACTCCATATTGAAGTTTATTAAGCCATTCTCCTTTTGCATCACCCTACATTAGTAAAGAAAAATAGTTTTAATACAAGTTTTTTTTTTTTGATACTATTATGTTGATTTAGTAGACTCAAAACATTTACCTCTGTAAACCATTTATAGAATCTTGCAGCATTATCAGTTGGCTCACCATCTCCATATCTACACAATCAATAATCATATCATGATATCAGATTCAATTAGAAGGTAATTCACAAATTTGTAATACCTATTTATGGTGTTTGTGATTTTTAGAAATGGGATATGAACACTTACGTAGCTAAAAAGAAAAAGGCGATAGACTCTTTCTTAAATCTCTCTTCATACTCTTCATCATCAGCAGCATAATCATCCTACAATTGATATAATTATTGGCGTTCAACATTCAATTAGTATTTCGAGAATCAGATATTGAAGATTCTGATTGTAGAATCCAAAACATACCAAATCAACTGCTTTAAAAGAAGCCTTCTCGTATCGAACTTTGGCTTCCTCTAAAAGTGCCTGTAAAAAAAATATATAATGTTATAAAATACTAAACTTTATAATTGAAAAATATGCAATTATGCAATTATGCATCAGTAATGGTGTTTCACCTTAGCGAAACCTTCAGCAGTTCCAGTTTGTGTTCCGAAGAAAATCGTAACTTTCTTCTTGCCATCATCAACCTCTGGTTCCTTCTCTCTCTTCGGTACAACGATCTTCATAGGCTCCGATTCCTGAACTGGTTTCTTCGTCGACGATCTCCGCCACACCAAAACGACGAAGCATCCAATCAACACAGCAACCGACGTTGTAAACAACGTCAGCAGCTCACGATTCTCCACCAGCATCTTCAACGACGGTGGAATCGTCAATTCTCCCGATTCCGATGCGTTCAATGCATCCATTACTTTCCCATTGAAAACTGCAGACATGAATTCAAACGGCGACACTTTTACGGAATCCGATTGCATTGTTACACCCCAAAATTGAACCGATTATTCAACGATGAATTGATAGTTTCGAGTCGTTGATCAGAGATAGAAAATCGAAAATCGAAAATCGAAATGCAGAGAGGTTTGTTGAGCGTTCTTTCTCTCTCTCTACTGAGAATTGGTAGATGTAGTTGGGGGAATACATCTTGATTTGAGGGGTTTTTATGGGGGTAAGGTAACGAAAGTGGGAAGAAACAAGAATGCAACGCCTACCGAACCAGACTAGTCAAACACTATACCATCTAATTAACCATTATTAGCTTCTATTTGCAATTTTGTATATACTAATTTTATAATTTATAATAGCATTAAAATAATATATATGATGCAATTAATAACATTAACAAATAGGAGAAAATATTTATTTAGAGAAAAAAATACCTTACTTTGTTTCTAATATCTCAATAAAATAGTTTTTTCACATAAAATAAAATATTAAGGGCACAATTTTGTAAATGAAAACTTGCTATTTCATACTATTACATTAGTTATATATTTTTATCTATTGCAACGCTGTTGATTTTGAAAACCTTGTGCGAAAATTAAAAATAGACCCTTAAAAGTTTGGATTAGCAACGGATATGGACAAATTAGTGACAGATGACAAAAGTGACTCAGTAATAACAAATTATGACAGATTAATGATGGAAGTCAAGAAGATGTACGAATTAAAATTTTGTGACTTCTAGCAACATATGCATCGCACACCTTGTATATACCTGGGGCCGGTCCTCATCTATTCAATAATGTATTGTTTTTATCAGTTTATACAATAAAATTTTTATTTTTATATTATGTTTCCATGCTATATTATCACTTTATGCAACTGATTTAAGTTATAAAAATGTGTTTCAACAACCTAAACATTTAAATATAAAACAATACATATTTTGGTGTCGTAGTAAAAGCTTGGTTCATAATAAAATCATTTTATATTAAAATAGTATTTTCAACAAAATAATTAATTAATAATAGTTAATATATAACTTATATTTTATTTATAAGTTTTTTTTTTTTTTTTTTTTTTTTTTTTTTTTTTTTTTTTTTTTTGTCATGCACCATTTGAATATTGACATGTATCGGGATCGTATTGCCCCATGTTTTTGGAGCCACTTGGGGCAGCGTGTGTGAATCTATGATGCTCCATTTTTATGTTTCCGTGTCCTCACCTAAATTATGAAACAAAATAGAGAATTTAATTTTTGCAATTAAATGCTCACCCACTTCATATGTATTTTTTTTTTATATTATTTGTAAATCTCAAAGAGTTCTGACAATAAGAAGGATCGATCAAAGTGTTACAAATAATCACTCAAGAGTTATAAAAACCCAAATACCGAATGGTGTTAATAAAAGGCACCAAGAGAATTTGGTTTTTGTATGATTGGTAAATCTTGTGATAAAAGTAAAAATATGTACAACTTTAAAGTATAAAATCACCCAAATAAATGATTTATAGCATGGCATCGCAAATTTAGTAAGCTAATAGGCAAACATATAAACCACATATTAATTGAAGTTCTAATTACTATTACTACGATCCGAATTATATTGTACAACTTCATAATAAACATGACAAACAATGAAAAAATGAGTGTCATTTAAAGTGCTTTAAGAAAATACCACAGCACACAACACCAACTTGAATATCACAATTTTAAACTTTTACTTGGATGATGTATGGATTCGATTGTTAAGATTAACAAATGTCATCATTAGTTACGGTGTTATTGTTCAAGACACTTAATGGTTCATGGTGAACTGCATGATGTATTTACAAGACAATGTAGACTAGTGATCTTTATATATGTATAACATCATTTGTTTTTTTTTTAAATAACCTCCAACATACTCTCATAATCCTCCTAAGATAAGGACGTACATAAGGACAACATACATAGATATGCATATTCGGTAACGAAATCATGAGGTGGGAGAGAAGTATGAGATGAACCGGAAGATGGAGAAGGTGGGCCTAAAGAAGAAAATTGACTATATCTTTGTTAATATTTTTCCCAACAATCAATATCATATGCACAATTTTTAAATAATCTATAGCCTGTGGATATATGTAGATGATTTGACTAATTAAATCACTTTCTAACCCCAACTTTCCAAAAAATAAAAAAAATAAAAACCAATTATTCCAAAAATAATCACTGAATCCACAGAGGGCTTATGCGGACATGGCATGCCCTCTAATGACTTGACGTATATTTAAAGGATTAGATTTTAGATTTTAGTTTTTCAATCAACAAAAGTTTCTCTGCGAACTTATTCTCTGAAGATCTAGTATGCAAAAGGAATTTATGAAGAACAAGTCTGTAAAGATTTGAGCTAACATTTGTGAACTCAATGTCATGAGATCTGTACTGTGAACTCAATTCGCGGAAAAGGTTTCATTGTTAGAACATATCAAGGTTTGGGGTTGGGAAGCATTCGTTAGACGAGAGACTCACGACAAGCTTGAACCTAGAAATGAAAGATGTATTTTCATCGGCTACCCACAAAAGTCATTTGGATATCTGTTCTACAGACCTAGTGAGCACCTGGTCTTCGTAGCACGAATGGGAGTAGATAGAGAGAGAGAGATAGAGAGAGAGAAAGAACTCATATGCAAAGAGGACAGTGGGAGTACCATTGTTCTTGAAGAAATTCAAGAGTCAAATGATGAAGGAACTTCTAAAAATACGAAGGCTCAACCTGAGGAATAAATTCAAGATGAACTAATTAACGAGTCATTACCTCTTAGGCATTCCAGGAGAGTTAGAATGCCACTTGAGTTTTATGGTTTCTATATTACTACAGATGGTGATATTTATATCAGTGATAGTACACTAGTAAATTTAGATGAACCAACTAACTACTAGGAAGCCATGGAAAGCCCTGAGTCTGCCATATGGAAAGAGGCAGTAGACAGCGAGATCAATTTCATGTATGATAATCAAGTTTGGAATTTGGTTGATAATATACCAAGTCGCAAGACAATTGGGTGCAAATGGATCTTCAAGAAGAAGACTGACATGGATGGAAAGGTACACACCTTCAAGTCTCAACTAGTTGCGAGGAATTTACTCAAACCCCAGGGGTTGACTATGAAGAGACCTTCTCACCAGTAGCTAAGATTAAGTCTATTATGGTAATGCTAGCCATAGTTGCGTTTCATGACTATGAAATTTGACAGATGGATGTCAAAACCACTTTCCTTAATGGGATGTCGGCTTAGGATGTTTACATGAGTCAACCAATGGTTTTTGTGGATGCAAAGTATCCAAATAGAGTGTATAAGCTTGAGAAATCAATCTGTGAATTGAAACAAGCTTCTTGCAGATGGAATCTTTGTTTTGACGAGAAGGTCAAAGATTTTGGTGTCTCTAGAAGTGAAGATGAATCTTATGTATATGTCAAAGCTAGTGGGAGTATAGTAACCTTCTTAGTTTTTTATGTTGATGACATACTTCTCATAGAAAACTACATTCCAACTTTGCAAGAGGTTAAGTCTTGGATTGGAAACCATTTCGCTATGAAGGATCTAGGAGAGGCTACTAATATTATGGGGATAAGAATTTTGAGTGACAGGAGTAAAAGGCTAATTGGACTTAGTCAAAGCACATACTTGGAAAAGGTACTCAAGCATTTTAGTTTGGAGAATTCCAAGAGAGGATAACTTCCCATACAGAGTAATACGAAACTGAGTAAGATTCAGAGCTCGAGTACTGATGCAGAGATAGAACAAATGAGTAGAGTTCCATATGATTCCGCCGTCGGATATATCATGTATGATATGGCATGTACTCGCCCTGATGTGGATTTTTCTTTAAGCATGGTCAGTCGTTATCAGGGAAATCCAGGTAGAGCTCACTAGATAGCAGTTAAGAATATTCTTAAGTATCTGCGAAGAACCAAGGACTGGGTCCTTGTGCTTGGTGGCAGTGATAACTTAAGAGCGGCAGGGTATAATGACACCAACTTTCATAGAGACAGAGAAAACTTTCGTTCATAATCTGGTTGGGTGTTTACCCTTAATGGAAGAGCGGTAACCTAGAAAAGTTCAAAGTAGAAGACAGTGGTTGATTCTACTTGTGAATCAGAGTACATAGCGGCAAGCAAAGCATCAAAGGAAGATATGTGGTTGAAGAACTTCATCGGAGACCTTGGAGTTGTTCCAGCCATCAAGGAGCCAATGGAGATTTTCTATGATAATGAAGGGACAATTACCTTAACAAAGGAAGCAATATATCGCCGTAGATCAAGACACGTCGACATAAAATACCATTTCATCAGGCATAGAGTAAAGGAAAGTCACATCATCGTGAAGAGGGTATCATCAGAAGAGAATCATGTAGATCCCCTCACAAAGGATCTGAGTAGGGTCAAGCACATTCAGCATGCTAAGAGCATTGGTCTGAAGGATGAGATTAGTTTTAGTAGTTAGATAGTTAGTTTCGAAACTTATAATGAAATAAATGTAACTGAATTTTGGTGATTAAATAATGGAGGGTTATTTATGAGTTGGCTTACTACCTTCTATCTATTGTTTATTTTATGTTTCGTTTTGCATGTTTTACTTCCCGAATAATTGGATGTTATTTATGAGATTAGTTTTAGTAGTTAGATAGTTAGTTTCGAAACTTATAATTAAATAAATGTAACTGAATTTTGGTGATTAAATAATGGAGAGTTATTTTATGAGTTGGCTTACTACCTTCTGTCTATTGTTTATTTTGTGTTTCATATTGCATGTTTTACTTCCCGGATAATTGGATTGTTCAAACATCCACAGTCGATCATACTTTTGGAAGTAATTAGTGAATCAAGACTGTCATGAATTGGATTTTAGATTGTCTAAAGATTTTTGGACATGGAAATAGTGTTGTTGCAATATTCATGAGTACTTTGAAATGAAGATTTAAGTATTAGATTAACCCACATTCAGATAATGACTTCATGAAATATCAAGAGAAATTCTGAGACGATAA